GAGAATCGGCCAGCGGGGAGCGGGACTTACCCGGACGCATGCAGGTCCCGGGGTACTGCCCGTCCTGGGGACAGTCCCGGCAAATCACTAACAAATCCAGCCCCGGGGATTCCCTCCTGCCCTGGCCCCACGTAGTTGTGTACTGCCTGGCTAGTAGACATGCGCATGCAGCATGCAGCATGGGGGTGTCTACCAGCCAGGCAGTTCTCAAGTACGTACTGATACACCTAATAATAACCTTAATGAATTAGAAAATACCAGACATTTTATATGTCCGCTATTTTCTCAATTTGTTTCCTGGACAGAACCCTCAAATACCGGACTGTCTGGCTCAAATCTGGACACCTGGCAACTCTAGCTGCTTCCTGAGTCCCTATTCTTGCCAAAGGTGTCTCTAGAGCAGGGGTGAGGAAACTTTTTTGGGGTCAGAGGCCACTGACCCACAGAAAAATCAGTCGGGAGCCACACACCAGTGAGAAGTGAGAAGGAGAAAGACACTCCTCACATTCCCCTCACACATCAGCACCTGTGGGGGGCCAGGCTAGTAGATTTTGTGTGCTCCAGCCCTATGGGTGGGTAGCGAGGGGGGCTGGAACACCAGCATATGCTCCCCGAATCAAGGAGGGAATCCCTGAGCCTCGGGGCCAGATCTCAGCAAGCCAGAGGCCACATCCAGCCCATGGGCCTGAGGTTTCCCACCCCTGCGCCAGAGGCTCTACTTCTTTGTTTTGCCTCTGTTCTAGGCCCTTAAGGACCCACAGAGGCTCTCTCTAGTTAAACGAGTCCCCTTCAGGGATACTGTTAATACCAGAACCCGTTTACAACAACCTACAACCGCACACTTAACTCCAGTCTAGTAACACAAAGAAAAGTCCATACTTGCTCTAGCCTGTTCTCTCAGCTTCAGGACTCCTCTTCCATCTGGGTCTGATCTCTCAGCCAGTCCTTCCTCGCTAGGAGGCTGACCAGTGTTCCATGTAAGCTGTGCACCACTTGAAAGGCCATCTAGGAGAGATTCCAGTGCCACCCAACTGATTAGCAGAGCATATCCAGCATGTATTTCTACTGACCATGCACATCTGCTCATAACTTGGTGTACATAACATTTATTCCACACACAAATGGAAAAAAGGTAGAAGGAACTCTGGCATCCAATCCCCCAAAACAAGATTTTTCTGCCCCTCAGAAGGCTCCTGCTCACCTGGGCATTACCCTCTACACGCTCTACTATCATGAGCCTACCAGAATGCTTTTTTCCCCGAGCTTTCCCCTTTTGGTACAGCCACCTTCTGTTCTTCCTAGAAAACTGCCTGATTCCTCTCATGTGGGACTCATTATGCAATTAGATGGGACATAGCCCTAGGCTCTCCAGCTGCAGTACAAGCTGCCTAGCTACAACCCTGGAGAAACCAGTGTTAGGGCCCAACCTCTGAGGTGTGGGCCCTTGTGTATGACTAACTGAAATAGGCTCGTTAGAGCATTTGTCTCTTTATCAAGTACCTGAATTGTGTGTGATTGTTACACTGCATGTTGTTATGGCTCGCTTCTGAGACACTGCTGTATATGTCTGCAACAGCTGAACAGCCAAAAAGATATAAAAATGGATCATGGGGAGGTATTAGCTGAACTTTTGAACTATGCTAGTGTAACCCACACACCAACTGGGTGTGGATCACTGTCCCATGTTGTGGCACTTACAGAGAGAGAATGCGTGGGCTCAACAGCCTTTGCTGAAAACCAAATGGCTTTGTAGCTCAAGCTGTAGCGTAGAGGCTTATACACTAAGCTCCAGAGATCCTAGGGTTGGCTCTACCTGTGTTATGCTAGCTTTTAGCAAGCCATTTTTAATTACATTGTTACCTACCTTATAGCTCTATTTAAACTGTATTGTAACTTAAATTGATGGTGCCTTCTCTGATCTCCGCATGGAAGTCACTGAAATTTAACAAAAAATCTCTTGTATTGAAAATCTCATCCATAATCTGTGAACTCAACATTTTAACACTTAACAATTTTCTCAACAAAGAGACAGAGCGGGTCAACAACAAAAATGCTGTCCCTCAGTTGGGGTGAAAGTAACTTACGTTTCTTACAGGTATTGTCATGTTGCAACCCCCCTTGGGGACTCAGGGCAGGCGGTTGGGAAAGTGGGGAGTTCAGAGCAGGGGTGGGGACTGCAGGAGTCAAGGCAGGAGGGGCTCATGGCAGAGGATTGGGTGGGTCAGATCTCATGGCAGGAGGTTGGGGTGAATTTGGGGCTGAGAGTGTGTCCACCACATCCTTGGGGCTGGCTGGGGCACAGCTACTGCACTGCCTGGAAACCTGACCTCCGGGGCTGGAACCTGGGTGCACTGTAGCCATGTAACCCAAGAGCTGTGGATATTGGCTTGGGCCCACCAGGGGCTGTGGTTTGCTTTTCCCCACAGCTATCTGGCACTGGGGCCAGGGGCAGAGTGGGAGAAGCTCCTGTAGGGGGCAGAAAGGAGCACTGGCACAGGAACCTTACCCATGGATAGTAGGGTTTCCAGACGGTTTCAACAAAAATACCGGACACACTTGACATTACATCACAATCTACATCACAACTTATTTAGAAAATACCGGACATTTATATTTTCTCAATTTGTTTCCCCAAACAGAAAGCTCAAATACTGCACTGTCCAGTTCAAAATGGGACACTTGGCAACCCTAATGGACAGTAGCTGGCAGCATCCAGAACCCCATCCCCAGCTGGACAACCTCTTACTCACGCACTGCACTCGGGCACACGGGCTTACTTTCACCTTTGGTCCCAGCCAGTTGTGCTTTGAAATCCTCCAGCAGAAAAAGATACTAACAGCATGAAGCTGCTTGGCCCATGGCACAGCTGATCAGAAAAAAAAATTCCACTAAAAATGTCAAATTTTCAGCCAAAAGTCTGTGAGGGCGAGAGGGAGGGAGATAGTGTTTGTCTTGTTTTAGAATAAGTGAACATTTTCCAATGAAAACTTCATTAATTCAAAATTTCAGTTTTCTACAGGTTGAACATCTATGATCCAGGACACTCTGGTCCAGCAACATCCATGGTATGGCAGGACCACAAATGTTTCTGGCCCAGAGAGCCCCAGCCTCCGAGGTTGCAAGGGGCTGGCAGGCCTCAAGGCCAGCAGCCGAGAGCAGGGAGCCCTGCTAGCCAGAGGTCCGGAGTCCTGCTGTGGCCAGAGTGAGGCTGGCCCAGAGAGAAGCCCCACCCAGAGAAGAGCCTGACCAGGTGCAGGGAGGGAGCCCCTGGATACAGTGGTGCCAGCAGCCCTGTGAGGAGACCAACTAGGGGGCTAGGGGCAGCCGAGCCCAGCAGGTGGGATACAGGGAGCACACTGGCTGGGCTGCAGCCAGGAGGGGAGCGCTGGGAAAGCCCAAAGCTTGACCTCCCCTGGTCCAGCAAACTCCCTTGTTCAGGACTGCTCAGGTCCCCAGGGTGCCAGACCAGGGAGATCCAATCACTATATTGAAAAACGGTTTTGATGGAAAATATTTTTACCAGCTGTAACTAACATTCCAAACATGTGTGTCTCCCCATCCCATACCAGAAATAAAACAGTTCCTTAACCCCCTTATCCAAAACTGCCATTTTATCTGTGCCCAGATCCCCATGTCAGAGCTCCCACAGATACAGTCCTCTAGACCTTCATTATGGTTAATGAATCCCACTGATCTGAGTACCTGCTGGCTGGCAGAGGGAGGGGAATAATACTGTGCTCTCCTAGAGACTGTGTTGGTAAGACCTGTCACCTTAACTCTGCATTTCCCTGTTTTACCAATGGTTGAAATCGGGAAATCAAGCTCTCCCATGCTAGAAGGGCTCTAGGAACACAGGGCTACAGCCTGTCTACAGCCTTAGCTGCATGTTACAGGTTTTTTGCATGTGGATATTTACATCTAACAGGGACCCCGCTTTTGGTCAATATTGGACATATAATCTGTAGCTATTCCATCGAAACAGGAGTCATAGTGACTGTGGCTTAACTGAGGAATAGACTGTTTTATTCAAGCCATCCTATAAACACACACACAACTCTCTCTAAAGAAGTGCTTCACAGTCTCTTATTGATTGTGGCCCTGCTGTGGTGAAGGATTGTGCATTTTACTGAAAAGATTACAGATAACCTGGGGGTTGTAGGCTGCAGAAAATTGTTTTGGTGATGCTGTATATGAAAAGGCATCAACCTGGTATGTTGAATAGAATATAAAAATGCAAGAGCGTTCAAAGAGGTTTTAACTTCTTAAGTAAAGTATCTCTCTCTGTGGGTACAATCCTTACTTTTTCTTCCAATGTCTGGAAAAGTTCAAAATACAAGAATTTTCATTAGTCTCTTTATTTAATTGATACCCATATATTCACCACTAGATGGAAGTAGAGATATACCATGCTAACGAAATAGAATAATGCTCCAGTGTAGCTTTTGGGAGTACTGTCAGCTGACTAATAGTCCTAAAAACACCTCCAGTAGAGCCTGGTCCTCTCATAGAATCCTAGAATACTAGGACTGAGTGAAAACTGAATGGTAGCAACACAGTGTTCTTCCTGTCCAACATGGCTAGTGATGCACACATACCGTACACTGTCTCTGCAAGGTGAGGAGGCCCTTTAAGCACCAGGTTCTGTCAGGCATAAACAAACGCTTTATTATTTGAACAACTCAGATAGAGATTTATTATCAGGTTACTTATGATGAAAGGAACCACAAAGTATACATAAAAAGAAGCACAGCCCCTCACAGTTGATAAATAACTAGGTTAATTGACAGTGATAAACAGAAATAGACATCACATGACTTATGTATTTTATTCATTTATAGGATAATTCTCTGCCTTTACATTCCACATAGCCCGCACAACTATTACAACATGGCACAGGTTAGAAATGGTGATCAAACAGCAGCTTCAGGGCAGCTCCTCATGGACTTTGAAACAAAATGATACCAAGAGGCTTCATGCTCAAAACTGTGCCAACAGATATGAACACAGCACCATCGCACATAGATTTGATAGCAAGCTCTTTCTAAAAAGAGTTCCCTAACCCCTTACAAGCAGATATATACAATTATATTTGCAAACATATTTTTAAAAGCATACAGTCAAGATAAAATACTGTATTTAAAATCCTATAATTAATTAATTGGAAGAATTTAAAAAAATCATTTGCACATTTATAATCTCCATAGAAAAGTTACTTTAACTTTTAGTCTTTTAATCTTTGGTCATTTTCATTTTCCAGTTCTCATGCACTAGTCCAATGCTACTGTGCTTAGATTTACAGTTAGTACTTCGTTATTTCCGGTAGGTCCCATGGTGTGCTAATTTTGCAAATAGAGAAGGTGTTAATCCTGCTCTGAGGAGCCCACCACATACTCAGAGAGGATGTTCAAGTTCTCCCCAAAGAAGCTGTTGTAACTGATTTTTTTTAAAGACTTCCATTGCTCTCTCTCCTCACACACATACAAGCTAACATCTAGGAGCTAAATCCCTAGAGGGTTTCTTTCCACTCCCCTTCCCCCCCAAACAGACCCATAGTATAAATCCAGTGGGAATCTATCCTAATGCTACAAAACCTGCAAAACCCTCTTTACAGAATTCTAACCCCAGTTTGCTTGGGATTAAAGAAGAGCTTCCAGCACCTTCAGAGCAACCCAGAAAGAGAAGGTGGTAGGACAGAACACGTCAAAAGACAATGCAGATCAGAAAATGGCGGCAGGCTAGAAGCACTGTAGAATCTCTCTTTAAAGAGAGAGAGAGTGGCATGTTGAGGCAACGAGGCTTAGAAGATCTCTTTGGGTTGGTCCAGAAAGAAGAGATGGAAAGAAATCTCTTCCTGCCCTTTAAATGTAAACACGGAGACATCCATTCTCTGAAAGAGTGAAAACAAAACACACAAGACTGGCATCACAGACTACAGAATTTCACTTGCGATGCTGATGACTATGTGAATCCCTCTGGCTGATGTGGAGTGTTGACAGGTTAACCACTAGTGCAGTAAATAATCCTGCAAAGCTAGTATCCAGGTGCTCAGACATTAAGCCCCTGAAAATCCTTCAGAAGCAGTGTTCCAAGAAATGATGAAATACAACTGGCTCTGTAGTTGATACACTGAATTTGCTATTACAACTTTATAGAAGTTTAGTCTATTAACTGTTACTTTGCTGTTTAGTGGACTCTTCCCAAGCATCAGAAACCACATCTTCATCACACGTGTCCTAAGAAACAAACAAACAAAAAACCCTAGCAGCCCATTAATGAGTCGAGTGTTATGTCCACATTAACAGAGCATATGTTTGTCCAAACACAGACCAGCCTAAATCCCCAAAAGCCATCCCAGAGTTCATGCTGAAGGGCCATCACACTCCTAAGATGGCCATCTCATCTTTAAATCAACTACAAAGAGTCCATACGCAGTACTTGTTTGCACAATGGCTCAGATTACATTACTACAACTCAGGACTAAGAATCCCACCAGCCTCCTGGTCACACTTAATAAGCAACAAATGAAACCCATAAGCTAAATCTGCTCCAAAGCCACATGGCCTGCTTCATACACCAAGTCAGATAACCACAGATGTCACTCTTGCTGTCTGCAGGAGACCAAGGTTGGAGCAGTGTCACCTTGTCCCAAGCCTAGGAAAGAATAGGCATTAATACAAGCAGGGTTCACTCTGACTTCCTGGCTGGGGACTCCAGTCCATTAACTTCTATGATATGGCAGAAATGGGACCGGCAGTATTCTACAAAATAGTCGTTTCCTTATGAAAAAGGAAAGCAGGGTCATGTTGGAAATCCCATTGTGTGGCTCTATTATAATCTTAGAGGATGGCACATCACAGGATCTCTCTCCCAAGAGAATTTATGCATCTTTCTTTTCCTACCTTTTAAGGAAGAATCATCCAGAGTATCATGATGAGTGTCCGTATCTTTTCCAGCCAAGAATCCATCCTCAGAACTTTGTTGCCTTCAGACACAGCCTCTGGATTCCCTGTTGCGTTCAAAGAACTCACATGGTTTAATTCTTCTGCTACAAGCATGAACAAAATTAGGGTAAGCAAAAACAGTTGGTGGAACTACTCTATATCTCGCTGTAAACTCAAACCACAGTGGCTTTCTTAAGCCACAGAGAATGTAACGAAAGAAAAAAAACTGAAAAGTGAGATGAAATGTTTTGGAGAAAGCTCCAGGCAGCATGAAAGACACTACAGTGAATGAGAATATAATTTTGATGCATTGTTAACAATTAAACTAGGTGAACTGCTTGGAAAGAAGATGAACCTGCTCCTTCTTGCCCTATTCAGTTCAGCCATGTCAAATCAGAGTACTGTAGCATGGATGTGACTGGCAGGCTTTGACCCACCACCACGCTGGGGTGGTGCCATGCTGCATTGCATTGTGAAGACGATCCATGAGAACTGGTAAGGTGACTCCAGTGTGGACACAGAGTTCAGGTTTGGTCATCGCTTACAGTAGCTGTGGTGCAGAGCTCACTCTGTGTGTACAGATGGGGGGAGAGCAAAAGCAAGGATAAAATAATATTATGACTGCAAGACAAATTCTTTCTTTGTGTAACTTAAAAGTGGAGCCAACTGATGGTTGCAGACTAGAGGAGTTGGACTCTGGAACACAGACAGAAGGAAAGGAGAGGGTGATGCTGAAGTAGGAAGAGAGACATTTAAAGATAGAATAGCATTTTGGTTCATGTTTGTGGACAAGGAGGTGGAACAGAGAATGTCTAGATTAGGGAACTGCTTGGATTCACAGGGGCAACAGCTTTGGCATTGCCTAAATGCATAGCAAATGGCCAAGCACTGTCATAATGTCAAACACACACGTGCTACATGTATCAGGCCCTCATCCCTCAAATTGCAGCATAGAAGTCCACAGTGTATTGCCTGTACTCAAGGGTGTATTCCAGTTGTGGCATTTAACATGCCTTGCAACCAGCTGGCTATACCCCATGGTATGAATGATTCCTCCTAGGCTGAGCTTCTACATGGTCTCCTTTCTCTTTGACTTCCCTGTTAGATTAGTTGCCCTGAACCTCTACCCTGAACTTCTGCAGTTTGTTTTTAAGCACTCTCCTCTGTCTGGCTCAGGAGCATTCTATATCCAGCGCAGGAAAGTACTGAACATCCACTTTGTGTCAGAAATGACTTTGCCTCAGAGATACCAGCAGGGACTTTGGAAGGTTCAAGGGAAGGGATGAGAGCTTTCTTTCGAGCATTGGGCAGGGGTTGCTTGAAATCTCAGATGAGAACTTTCTGCATGATCACCCATAAGGATTTAGAAGGGAAAGTGGCAGGGACCCTGGTATAATTCAGCCATTCCTGTCCTCTATGCAGCATTTTTTTTTCTTATTCATGTGGAACAGAAATGTAGTTCAACTCTGTGAGAAGTAGTTCAGCAATGCTGGCTCTGACCTCATGAGCTCCATGTGTGAGAGCACCCACCCTCCCAAACCATACATTCAGCTCAACGAAGGGGTGGGTGATCCTTACCAACACCACCAAGGAGTGAATGCTCATATACTTTAAAGCATTTCTTTGCCGTGTGTTAATTTATCAGGTTTTGGGTTAAACACAAGAGTGAATACCGGGCAAGCCAGTGTGGGAGTGAGCTTTGCCTCTGAGTTACGGACTGGCAGCATAGCACTCTCACACTCCTCTCATCATGCCCTTGTTTCTTCCTCAACCCCCATAATTACAGGAACTGCTTTGGTACTGAAAATCCAAACCACACTGGAGGCTGCTCTCACCTCCTGTAGATGAAGTGGGGCTACCACCCATATCCACAAAGCCAGTTACACCTCATCATAGAAGCTAATCAGATTGGTCAGGCATGATTTGCCCTTCATGAATCCATGTTGACTATTCCTGATCACTTTCCCCTCTTCCAAGTGCTTCAGAATGGATTCTTTGAGGATCCCCTCCATGATTTTTCCAGGGACTGAGGTAAAGCTGATGGGTCTGTAGTCCCCTGGATTGTCTTGCTTCCCTTTTTTAAAGATGGGCACTACATTTGCCTTTTTCCAGTCATCTGGGATCTCTCCCAATCTCCATGAGTTTTCAAAGATAGTGGCCAAAGATAGTGGTCATCTGTCCAAGTTTCCACTTCTTGTAAGCTTCCTTTTTGTGTTTAAGCTCACCAAGGATTTCCCCAGTAAGCCAATCTGGTCACCTACCATATTTGCTTTTCTTGCTGCAAATCAGGATGCTTTCTTCCCGTGCCTTTAATAAGGCTTCTTTAAAATACTGCCAGCTCTCCTGGGGTATGTCCAGACTACATGGCTCCATCGACGGAGCCATGTAAACTAGTTTACCCGGCATAGGCAAAGAAGCGGGGATTTAAACAATCCCTGCTTTATTAAAATAAACATGGCCGCTGCGCTGTGCCGACGATCAGCTGATCTGGCACAGCGCGGCAGTCTAGACGCGGATCTGTCGGCTGGGGAAGCCTTTGCTGACCGATCCTGTAAACCTTGTTTCACGAGGCATAAGGGATCGGTCGGCAAAGGCTTTCCCAGCCGACAGATCCGTGTCCAGACTGCCGCGCTGTGTCGGATCAGCTGATTGTCGGCACAGCGCGGCAGCCATGTTTATTTTAATTAAGCGGGGATTATTTAAATCCCCACTTCTTTGTCTATGCCGGATAAACTAGTTTACATGGCTCCGTCGATAGAGCCATGTAATCTAGACATACCCCTGGACTCCTTTCCCCTTCGTGTAAGCATCCCAGAGAATCCTGCCCATCAGTTCTCTGAGGGAGTCAAAGTCCGCTTTTCTAAAGTCCAGGGTTCACTGACATTTTTTAATCAAAGGTAAATGTAGAGGACAAGAATGTATTGCTTTTGCCCCTCTAGCACTTCTTGGCCCAAGCAAACCGTAAAGCTACTGCTACTTACCAATTACTTTCACTCTGATATAGTGACCCACTGCAGACTTGTCTCTCCCACTTGCTCTGCACTGGTAACCACCGCTGTGTGACTGACTTACATTATGAAGCTGCAGAGACAAGATGACCCTTGCTTGGGGATTGGAGTGCTCTGTTGATGGGAAGTGTTCCAGCTCTCTGCCAACCTTAGCACAGTCGTTCTGATTGTCTACATGCTTACACCAATAGACATTCGGATCTGAAGACTGGTTCAATTGGTACCTCACTGTGCAATTCAAGGTCAGGGAATCACCTTCTTTAAGGGTAACGCTGTTTGATGGGTAAATGATTTCAAGTGTGTCACATCCTGGGGAGTAAGAGAGAAGACACAACACACATTAACTATTGTATGTGCATTACCTTGCCTGGTATTTTTCAAGTCACTTGCAAGCTCTTGGGGCAGAGTGTCTCTCACTCTGTGGGAACAGTGCCTGGCACAATAAGGCCCTGATCTTGGTTAGTGCTCTCAGGTGCTGTTCTAATACAAATAATTAATCATTTGGCTTTTCCCATAGCCTCAGTGTTACTTGGCGGCCCTGCCACAGAAAGGTGTGAGGAAGAGATATCCCTCAGTATCGTCCTACAAGGTCTAGACATGCAGGTTGGCCATATATTTTTTGCTAAGGCAAGCTTTGACAGAAGATTGGATTTGACAAATGTCAGTTTTCCTCCCCCCAAAAAGTGTATTTTTGTCAGAAAGCCTAAAAGCCCAAAAATTTTAATTTTCAGTTTGATTGAAAATGTCCAGTTTTTTAAAAGAATAATCTCATTGTTTTACAGGGAAAATAAACTTTTTTTTTCCAGTCAGCTCTAGATACTCCTTCCCCTCAGAGCAGAGTTCAGCTTCTCTCTCAGGCTTTATCCACAAACCAAGTGAAAGGTGCAATTATAACATGGGCTGTCAAACACCCTCCCCCCACTTAGCTGTAATCTAGCCAGCAGCGGTAACAAGAGCAGTGTAGAGATAGGGCACAGTTTCAGCACAGGCTAACAGAGTATGTCTATACGGTACCTAGAAGGCATATTTGCAGGACTCTACTTACCTATATCTTTTATTCCCAATGCTGTCAGCAGGAGAGCCACAATAAGGCTGCCTCTTCCACACTCAATCAGCGAACCCCTGATTGTTCTCATTTTCTGGATGGCCATCAGATTGAAATCTTGGACAATTTTCGGCACCCCTTTCCTCTCACAGCAGAGAGAGTGCATTAGAAACCTGTATTGTCACCTATGAGCTGTCTGGAAAGTACAAGCTTCTCCCCTTACGAGTTCCGTGTTCACTATTTAAACCACACTGTCATTTAGCTTCATTTAACAGATATCATGGTGTAGAGATCTTCTTAAAGAGCCAGAAGACCGTTAAAGCTAGTCCACCACAACACACACACTCCCCCCACACACACACCTACCTACCTAACCAAAGGAGGCCTCACAAAGTTCTATTTCTTCCAAGGCTGGCCATCTGCAGCCAAGAGTATTGAGAATCACATATTCCTAGAATGGAGCTAAATAATCATCATCATTTCACTTTGCACCAACTTCAGTGACATTGTAGAAATTCTCAAGTATTTGACCATAGTCTTTATAGCTTCTCTCCTTTTTCAGCATGGCTTGATGATAGCAAACTGTATTTAAAAAATTTAAAAAATCCCAGTTTATTCTCTGTCTCATTCATTACCACGTACCAGAGAAGGCAGACTTTCTTTTTCCCACGGAATTCAAGTTTGCACTGAGGTTTCAGTGGAGAATTAGCCAAGCGGTTTTGTTTCTTTTCATTTGTAACCTACTTTGCTCTGCCTACTTTCACTTATTACTACTTAAATCCTACTGCTTCCACTTATGAATTCATTTGAACGCTCAGAGCAATTTAAACTGATAGCCCAGGTAACTTTTTACAAATATTTGATTAATTTTAGTTGTTACGAAGCATGAAAAAATAGTGTGAATTCTGTTGCTTTTTCAATAGCTTTTTAAAGGGTGCTGCTTAACGTGTGTGTGTGGAGGGGGGGGGAGAAATTAGTGAAGCCACAGCAGTTTCAATAATTCATAAAGGCAATCAAGACCATAGACTGTGTTTGCAGAGGGGAGGTCAGCCTCCTACACTAGTTCAGAGTCTGAGAAATAAAATCCTCTACTTAGCAAATCAGCTTCCAGCAGCAAACTAAATGTGAACGACTTTAATGTTAGTGAAGGTGCCCGACGGACAACCCTTAAACAAGACATCTTCTGCCAGCAGAGCACAGAAGACTCAAGCAACAGTTGAAGATTCTCCCACATTGCCCTTCCTATCTTATCCACCCTTCATCATGCCTCAGTACTACCCTAGAGGGGCAAGTTCTGATGTTGAGAAAAGGATTTACCGTCTAGGGCCCATTAAATATCTGGCCTCCGCTGAGAGTGCTCACCCAGATAATATACTGTGACGGACCTCCCCCCACCACATTCTTTATGAAATACCTATGCAAGTCCATTTAATGTGGAGTGTGGCCCCACTAATCTAGTTTCCCCACAATTGGGACTTGTCTGCAGGTCTGTTTATCTTACTCTGTTGTATGTATCATTTGTGTGTGTAAAATTAGACACATGGAGTGGGGAATACTTGGTGAGTTTCAAATGTATGAATGGGAGACATAGAGGGTGTTACCTGCAACTTCTAGATGAGCCACTGTTAAACAATCTTTTATCTTTAAGTCTGAGCAGTGGTTGGTAGGGAGTGGCCTCAACTCCTTAACAAAAGGAATAGGAAAGGAGAGGCCTGGGTCTTTTGGCTGGGCTGCACCTGAAGGAAGGGGCCAGGGACCCCAGGGTTGGGAAGAGAGCCCTGGTTTAGACTGGTAGCTGGAAAAGAGGTTTTAGGGTGAGTTTAAGTTTGCACTGTGGTTTCAGTGGAGAATTAGCCAAGTGGTTTTGTTTATTTTCATTTGTAACCTACTTTGCTCTGCCTACTTTCACTTATTACTACTTAAATCCTACTGCTTCCACTTAATAAAACCATTTTTATTTTCTCTCAAACCCAGTGTAAGCGAGTGTTACCTGGGGGGAGGGGGCAACCAGTGTGCACATTCCCCCTTTCATTGATAAAGGGGGCTTACCTGATTCTTTGGGGTTTGATCCCATCTGGGGAGTGATATCCCAGGAGGCTGGGCCCTAAACTGCACTCTCCTTGGACCTGAAGTGGTTCAGTGTCTGTACTGCTTCTCAGTGGGGGCAGGGACCTCAGCTCAGAGCCCCAGAGAGCATGAAGGTGAGTGGCAGTGGCCGGGTCAGCACCCCAACAGGCACCCTCGAGGGGCGTCTGTGACTACATCATAGTCACTGTGATGGGATGCAATTATGTGGATACACATCGGCTACGTCTAGACTGGCATGATTTTCCGCAAATGCTTTTAACGGAAAAGTTTTCCATTAAAGGCATTTGCGGAAAAGAGCGTCTAGATTGGCATGGACACTTTTCCACAAAAAGTGCTTTTGCGGAAAAGTGTCCGTGCCAATCTAGACGCGCTTTTGCGCAAAAAAGCCCCGATCACCATTTTCACGATCGGGGCTTTTTTGCGCAAAACAAATCTGAGCTGTCTACACTGGCCCTTTTGCACAAAAGCTTTTGTGCAAAAGGACTTTTGCCCGAACGGGAGCAGCATAGTATTTCCGCAAGAAGCACTGATTGCTTACATGAGATCGTCAGTGTTCTTGCGGAAATTCAAGTGGCCAGTGTAGACAGCTGGCAAGATTTTCCGCAAAACCAGTTTTGCGGAAAAACTTGCCAGTCTAGACACAGCCATCCAGTAGAAACTGAACAGAAAAGCCTCCCTCTTTTCACACCAACCATTCTACAGACCTCAGAAGGTTAACTAAGAAACTTCAGGCTAATTGAAGCTGGCAACTTTGAAGCCTATTACCACTCCCCTGAGCCACCCACTTTCCCATGTGGCTGTTGGATTTTTGAATGAAGCAGCAAGGTGTCAGGAGCAGCATGTGAAACATAAACATGCCAGCTTACTTTATATAGAGCTACAAAAAAAAATATTCAGTCAACCCGTTCTAATACTCAACTAAAGAAATGAACAGCAAAATTCTATTCCCCCATTCACATGAAGAAATGAATGTTTGTTTTAAAGCAAATAAAATCTCTTTAGATTTACCAGTACCTGTAATTCCTCAGTCATACTAAAGTGTGGAGTGCAATTTTTGCCCAAAATGAATGTTTTCATGACAGTTTTGCAAGGGAAGGGCAAATTAGACAGGAAATGATCTACAATATAAGATGATCTAGTCTCTCCTTGCCATTGTGGAAGTGCTCCAGCGTGTTCATATATTCCATGATTTTTGTGCTCTGCAGAATTTTCCCACACAGAAAAAATATAAAGAGTCCAGTACTTCTATATAATGCACAGATATCAAATAGCACCTATATCACAAAACTAGGGTTTGTTTCAAAGCCTAACTTTAAGTATTTAAATGCAGTCACCTTTAAATTACTTTGCTTAAAAAAAAAAAAAAAAAAAAGTCAAATTGTGTAATGATTAGAACTGATTGGAGTCTTTGGCAATGAAAATTTGGCAAAATGTTCTGTTTCATCTAAGCCAAACTGTTCCAGGAGGACACGTTGGTTTCCAAAAGACATTCACCAAAAAGACATTTTGAGAAGAAGGCCAGGAAAAATGAGGCTATCGCTGAATGAGAAGACTACAGGCCAGGGAGGTGTACTGGTCTCAGTGGAACAAATTTTGAAACTCAAAAGTTGCCATCAAACAGAATTATCATCATCTAGTCAGCTCTAGTGATTAATGGACAGTTAAAAGCTCCATAATTTGTCACAAACTGTTCTATGTGCACCCATATGAGATGGATGAGAGAGTTAGGAACGTCTCAATTTTTTATAATGGAGAGTATTTTCCTTGCATTGTTATGAAGATATTTTTGTCCCTGAAGAGGGGGAAAAGAGGAGAGTATATTTTCCCCAAGGCCAACTGTTGTGAGTGGAAAAAAGCATAATTACCTGGATATAAAAATTATTCCATTCAGATGATGCAGATTGCAACCACAGTGACAGGTATCTAGCTGGATTCTACAATTACACATCGATGTAATCACAGTAAATGCCCACTAAGATTCCACCAAATATCTTAAAAAGGTAACTCAAGTATCTAGATGTGTAGGCTAACCAACCCCATAACAAGTTCCAACCTCCATGAGAACTAAAAACTTGTATTGATATTATAAAACTGCTTCTCCCCACATTATCCCCTAGTTCGCTGGGATTTTTTTTTTTAAAAAAAGAACCCTATTGATTAAATGTCTCATTGGTTATTTTTACTTCTTGACATGCATCTTTCGGCCATGCATCTGCTCTGGGGAGAGTTAGCACCTGCATCTAGAGTCTGCAGCAGGCTATAATCAGCCTTTATCGTCTCCTCATCCTGTCCCCCGTCATAACTCTGAAGAACTGAGGGTTTGTTCCCATGACCACCATGCTGCCTGTAGTGTCAGACACAAGACTTTCAAAACCACAAGACGACAATAGCTCAGGGAGAGCAGGCACTCTCCTCCCCCACATTTCTTATTAGCAGTTCCACATAGTAGATACACTGCCATGCATTACCTCAGAAACAAAGCCAAATACAAATCATCTCAGAAGTTCAAAGATAACAGGAAACTAGCACTCAAAGGGCTGCAATTAGGTTGCCTCGTCATCTTCACAAACATGTTTAGACTTTCCAGTGCGCCCACAGCAGTGAGAAGAGGTGAACCCTACTGCAGGTCAAGCTACTTTTTGTGGCAGGACTGGGTGCACTCATTAGGAATTCTACCCCAAAATATGACACATGGTACATTTCATTCGCACAGTACTACCTAGCGTATTCTTCCGGCTCACAGCTATTTCAATATCAACTTTGCAGAAACTTCAATATGGAATTGGGAACAAGACCTCGGTTGTGCCTTTGGATGCATCAGGGTCTCTGAATCAGGGGCTTAGCTATAGGTGGTTTGGATGGGCCACAGCCCACCCACTTAACATCCAGGATTTCGCCCTGCCTCTGCAGGGAACATTCCCTTCTCCGCCTGGGACTCCAGCTGGGCTTGGGGACAAGGGTCAGCAGCTTGCCCTGCTCTACTTACCTGGTGTTCCTGCCAGGGAGTGGAATCAGGGGCTTAAAGCCCCCATACTCTGATGCCTCTCCCTAGCAGGAGCACCAGGCAAGAGGAGCTGGGGAAGCCCCCACCCCTAACTCTGCTCACAGGCTGGAAAATCATGTGGGCAGGGGACTTTGCCTGTCTTTTTTCAATACCAAAGCTTTTGCTCTTCTCCCACAATGGAATGGTAATTGAAAATGTTTCCGTATCATTTATAATTAAAATTTTGAAGACAAACCCAATTTATGATATCTGGTTAAACAAAAAAAGCAGGTGGAAACGACGTTTCTCAACACTATCTAATATAGTTTCCTTTGACTCAAACATGAATGCTTGTGACACTTTTCAGAGTAAAATGTTATTTTTACTCATAGCTATTCTCAGGCTAGTTATGTGCCACATCTCTGTGAGCTTTTACAAAGCTCATTTACGCTCTCACATCCATACTCATTTTAACACACACCACTAAAAATGCACATTCATACCTTCAGGCAATATAATTGGTCCCGTGATATTACAAAAACAAGGTCAGTGAAGTAATATCTTGTATGGGACCAACGTCTGTTGGTGAGAGGGGCAAGTTTTCAATCCCTAAGGCTGTGTCTACACTACAGGGTTTTTGTGCAAAACCATCTGGTTTTGTGCAAAAACCCACAGAGCATCCACAAGCATCTGGTTTTTGCACAAGAAATGTACAGTAAAATGGCAGAACAGAGGGGTTTTTGCAGTGTAGTTATACCTCTTTCTATGAGGAATAACTCCTTTTTGCGCAAGAACTCTTGCGGAAAAAGACGTGTGTGGATGCTCAACAGGGGTTTCTCGTGCAAAAAAGAGCCTATCCGAAAAAGCACAGGCGCTCTGATGGCCATTCTGTGCATGCCAATCAGAACTTTCTTGCTCAAGAGCATCCATATAGCGTGGACACTCTCTTGCGCAAGAGCACATCACTTTTGAGGTGTGGAAGCACTTTTGTGAAAAGTTTTTGCAGGAGATCTCTTCTGCGAAAAGCTTCTTGCGCAAAAACCCTGCAGTGTATACAAAGCCTAAGTGTCTCAAAATCATGTGTGTCTCACCAACAGAAGTTGGTCCAATAAGAGATAATACCTCACTCAGCTTTCTCTGTTAATATCTGGTCAGCATTGGTGATGTGCGACTCCTAGATTGTGGTCCTGCCCCAAGGCCTAACTCTACCCTGCTCCTCCTCCTCATGAAACTTGGTCAACACTTGGCCCCCTCCCTGATATCTCCCCCCACCACTCACATCTCCTTATCCCCCTCAGCTAGCCCCCTCACCATCCTGTTGCTCCTGCCGCTTTGC